CTGAATATCTGAAGGAGTGTTGGCCAGATGCTTTCATAGACCAGAAAAGAGTGAGGTGAATAGTAGCTATTGGGGTATAGAGGGAGCAAAATTTTAGAAATAGTGTTTGATCCCAAGAGCAAAGTAGGACATTTTCAGGCAAGGCTGCTACAATCATGAAGCTGAAGTCTGAAAAATGTTTGCTGCTCCTGTCATTTGCCAAGTAACAGCTCTGCCCCTGGAGCTGTAAATCCTTTTACAGCTACAACAGCTGTTCCCTCTCTGCCAATCTGTTTCCGTCTCAAAATATCTGAGGTTCAAATGATCTAGATGTCCATTATTTCTATAGACTATTTGCCGGAATGTAATAGTGAGGTCTAATCCATATTCATTTTTCTCAATCTCACAATTTTCATTCATCTTTGCTGCACGAACATATTGTACCATTGAAAATAGTTTTAAATAGTCAAATAATTACAGTCTTTTAGGAGTGCATCCTGTACTCTGCATGTCCTCATGCTGAAAATGCTGTTATGCTGAAAGCCTTGAGTAGAAAACCTCCTTGGAACATTACATTTACGCAATACTTCACTTCTAGAATTAATTCTAAACAGGTGAATATTCTCCTTTTTATAAAAGAGTTCTCAGACACGGGCGCTGTGCCTTGTCCATCCCAGCAATTGCAAATAGTTTTGGAACCCAGAGGTCATACTCCTTTGCTCAAACCAGCAGAATATACTGCCTCTGAAAAAACAAGCGTGTCAGAATAAAAAGTTCAGATAAATCAGAAATCTACCTGGTCATCACTTAATGAATATCCACTTGTTTTTGCATTTTTTATACTGGCACCTATCACTGAAGTGAGAGCATCTTCTTGCAGCATTTTTGCAAAAAAAAAACTTTAGCTACACAATGCTCTGCATAACCGTTTTTCAGATGGTAAGATGAGGCACAGATGAAGTGGCCTTCAGGACAGTGAGTAAAAGGATTGGCATTATCTTCTTTTGTTCTAAATACTTTATTTTTCCCTATTAGCCATGCTTTGCATTGTTAGAATCTGATTCTACTGGCCCAGAAGAAATACCTCGGCCATAAATTGCTGAGGTGGTATAAATTGGAGTTTTGGAGCCATTTTAATGCTCAGAAATTTGTTCAGGAGTTCTCTGACTTCTATGGGGTGGCAGGGGAAAGGCTTAAGACAGTGCATAATATGGAATCTTTTGGTTGTCTGCAGAAACATGCCAAGGGACAGGATCTGCTAAGAAAAGTATGTGAGCATCTCAATCTTTTGGAAGAAGACTACTTTGGACTCGCCATATGGGATTCTCCAACTGCCAAGGTAAGCAAATGCTTGTTGAATTACAAGCTACAACCAATGTTTAACTTTGTCCTGATTTGAACAACTGGTCAAGAAAATGTATAAATGTCCTAAATTGGAGGTGTTGCATATATGGCCATGTCATCCAGCCTATGGGGTTTTTGGAGGGACTGAGACTTCAGGGATGGGCCCATGGCCTAATTCCTGGTCCCACTGGGGGCACATTTCAGGGTGGTAGGCCAGTGATGGCTGTCTCAACCCTGCTGCCACTTACCTTGCTACTGGAGATAGGTCTGGATCTGGCCTGCAAGGTGCTCTATCATCTCAACCCATCTCAAGGGGCCAAATGAGTTTAACACTTCTAAACTAAAAATAATTTGATTTGTTTTTTTCAAAAATCATAAGGAAGGACTAGACTAAGTGCTGACAAACTGCATTTTAAGGGGTAATGATTGGGAGTAAAACAGAATAATCTATCAAATAGTGCAATGTGGGCTTTGCTAATGGTGGAAACAAAGCAAATGGGGTAAAATGTATTTTAATGAAACCACATGCAGAAATAGCTTATATTCTGGTCCTTGATAAAAATACTGTTGTTGACTTGTAAAGCTACAACAGAGGACCTAAAAGTCCCAGCTGTTCAGGAGTACCAGGGAAAACAAGTTTTTCTTTCCATCAAAAAAACCCCAACAAATGTGTTATGGTGAATGTAACGGATAAAGCAAGGGTGTAAAGATCTAAGCTATGGAAGCAGGCCATGAACCCTGAAGGATTTGGGGGAGAATTTCTCCCTGATGAGTGAGTTCCATGTATTTATTGAAGACGGTATGCTGAGCAACAACCAGCAGTAAAAATTGGTTGTATTTTACAGATAAATAAGCCTATAGGATTTGACTGTGCATTTACAAGTCAAGAATATGTAGAATGGGTTCTCATTCTGTCTCCAAAGATGCCTCTGTTTTTAGCTTTTTTTTCCACCCCCATAACTGACTCTTCTGTCACTGCCATAACTAATAATTAGGGGTTTAACCTCAGGCTTGTTTTACTCTGCCTGGGCAATCTCCTTGTCCAGCATCCTGGATATTCTTCTAATGTATGTCTGAATGAATTGGTCAATTGGTATATGAATGGCAACAACTTATTCCCTGAGCCCTACTGTTTTGCTGCACCTTGCTAGCTGCTTCAGCTGTATGGGGAAGACAAAAAGGAAGAGCTGTAAGTGGTTCAAGACTTAATTCCTTTGTGCATTCACCGCAGAAGAGTCTCTGGAACACCGCCCCCCCCGGTCGAGTTGCATATGTAAATTCCACACCTGCTGTGTGCATCAATGAGGGGAAAGAGTTTAGAAAATGTGTAGAGGTATCGTTAGACTGTGGGATATACCTAATTTCTGCAGAAACCAGACATGAAAAATATGTATGGATGAAAACAGACAGTTACTTGATTCAAAGTGTGGCAAGTGTTGCTCTTTTTTGAGGACTTTTCAGAATGGGAAAACGTATCATAGCAGAGTGGCAGAAATTTCTTCAGCCTTTTTGTAAGGTCTGGTAAGAGGTAATTCGGGATTAATGTTTCAGACTGCAGCTTGTCTTTGACAGAAGAGATAGAAAATACCAGAAGTGTGTAATTTTAAGAAATAGGTTACTTTTAGTGCATTTGCTGAGTAGAAAAGACGTTTTTGATACTGAAACTTATGCAATGTAATTTTCCTATTGGCACTTCAACATCCTGTGTATCTTTTTAATAACCCAGAGTGCCTGACAGAAATGTTAACTGCAACTTTATTCAGGCAAAAACTCAGTCCCTAGATATGTTGAATTCAGATCAGTGGCTGATTTCAGCATTGAACCCAAGACCTATTGTAGCTTAATATTCTGACTACCTGTTTGTTATATATAATGCAGTTGCTTATGATGAGCAGGGTTATTATGGTGGAAAGTAGCAGCTAAATCATTAGAAAATAATATTTGTAAATTTTCTCATGGGTAATGAAGTGTAGCTGTTCATATCAGCTGATGCCCGGGCTTGGTCTTCATTGGTTTTGATGTACTTCCTTGTATTTGCAGTGTGGTTTTTTTTTTTTTTTTTCTTCCCAGTCATGCAGTATGAGCGGTTTCATTCCATATTTGTTAAGTGGAATCTACTGTGTGCAAAGAATTTCATAAGAGATCTCCAGGACAAAAACATCAAGCTGTTCATGCTAAGATTTTTCACTATTGCATTTTTGTGTTGGAGAAACATATATCTGGCAATTATCTAACCTTGTTACTCTCAAGAAGTGACAGATGGAGTGCCTTTTTGTATCTGTCACTTGAGTCAAGGAGGCTTCCTGAGGTTTGGGACAGGAGGACTGGAGGAATGCTAATTTCACTGCCTTCAGTAAAAAAGCAAAATTATGCATATGCTTGCTTTTTCCATTTGAAGTCAAAGTATGAGGTTGAGGTTTTAATTTCTTAATGATTGCAGCAAGCCAAGGAAACACCCTGAGTAGCAAACTTCTGAGTCACAGACATTTATTGTCACTTAAAACAAAGATTGACATAGTTAAACAGCTGCTGAAGTTTTAATCCTGGTCTGAAATAATCTATTCCTGTTCACAACCCCCATTTGCTTTATTGGAAAGTTGCCTTGTATACGTTTTGTCTTATTGGAAAGAAAACTGCCGAGCATGAAATTCCTTCCCTGCCCTACAGTATTCTTTGAGGGGGGAGGGTGGGGAAAGCTGCCACTTCATTGTTTTGTTTTATCAGCTGAAAGTGTTCTTAATTCAAGGCCCCACCAAGTCGACTTCTGAACCTCCTTCAAAATTATGGCAAGGGCTTGAAGTGTGTAAAATAAATGTAGGCAAAATATTATACCTAGATATTCCTACCTTTTTACTTTGGAAATAAACCAACCATGCCCCCAAGGAAGAGCATTTTCCCACACTGGAAAATCAGATGGTAAAAGTGAATAGAGTGACTGTTAAGCACTGAAGGAGTGTGCACTAGAGTTTATACTAGTCTGAAAGAGAGAATTGTTTTTTACTGATTCATGACACAGCATTGGATAAAAGTATCATTAATTACTGAACTCTTCATTGTCTGTTGGATTAGGCAGACAGGATGCATTCCGTGAATGCATGACTGCGCTGGGGCTGTGTTTGGGTCAACCTAACTGGCCCTTTTCTCCCTGGGGTAACTGAACATTGGTAGCATCAGCACTTAGACAAAAAGCTGCTCCATTTACTACACAGTATGTCTGGCTTATGCACCTTTCTGCATGCATATCAGTACTACTTATACAGGTTGGAAGGGGTAGAGTGCATATTTAATGCATTTAATTTAAACCTAACTACAGTTGTACCAGTAACTTATTAAGCTAAACACCCTTTAGGTTAAGATGAGCTCAGAAGGCTCAGCGGGTTAAGCATACTAGTCTTTCACCTCAGAAGACCTAGGCTTTTAAATCCTGCTTAGTTCACATGAAAATGAATTCAGTAGTCTCATTCTAGCCCCTAGAGAAAAACTATAAATATTGCATTGCCTCCATACATCATGGCAAAAGTTGAGGGCTTCTGTTAAAGAGAAATTCAGGATTGAGGTGCTGAAAGGGCTTTGATCAGGCATTGACAGGACCGACGGCATCAGTTTTACCCCTTCCCTAACCCCTCTTCCCAAAAAGCAAACTAATTTCATACAACTAGAAAAACTGGGATTTTTTTCTTAATATATGTGTAATCTCTTACAGTCCTTGAAAACTTCAACCATTATTTTTTGAACATTTTACCAATACTTTTCCCTTCTGTGAGTGGTCCTACACTTTTTATGCTGTAATCAGATTTTCATAAGTAGTCCAGTGAGTGATATGTCAGGAAATTATACTTCATGACTGTGCATCAGAGCGTATCTTCATAACGGTAAAAATTGCAGTATTCTGCACCTCTAGGTCCACAGAGAGAGAGTGCTTCCCTTGGAAGATAATGTTTTCTTGTTCAAGACCATGGTAAGATTTCAAATGAATGGAGCTTTGGGTATAGTAATTTTATTGTCCTTTCAATCTCAATTCATCTTGTATGCAGTGTACATGCACTAGCTTGTCCAACTGGGACAAAAATCGTGGATATAAATTCTGCTACTGCCCTTCATTCCATCCTTTCCACTCTGAAGCAATTGTAGAAAATGGTGGGATTATAACATCAAACATGAATTTGAGCTAGTAGGCTGGAGTGAGTGTGCTGAAAAAATGGAGGATATCGTGGCTGTATGTGTTACTTATATGGTATGTGCATGCATTGCAACAGCCAGCTCCATTCATATTGGCAGATGCTTTTTATCTAAATGCCGTGGTGTTCATATAATACATGTCAATCTGAATATATATGCTTTTCTGTTCTTACAGACATGGCTGGATCCTGCCAAGGAGATAAAAAAACAGGTTCATGGTAAGTGGATTGAGTTAATCTTTTTTTGTTTTGTTTTGTTTTCCTTCCCACTGTAGATATTTATAGACTTGGCACATAACCTAGAGAACCCCTGAGGACTAGCTAGAGTTCACGTAAGAATATTTGGCAGGGACCAGCACCAGTTCAGACAGCACATACTCTCTTGTATTTTACACTTAATGATTTGCGGGTCTTAAGAACAACAGTGGCATTTTTTCACAATGAAGGATCGTGTCTAGTATCTTGTGCCAGTAGGCAGACAAATACTAGACCATCACGTAATCCAGAAATAAATAGATCTTTAATCTGACATTATGAGAGGGAGGGGGAACTAATTAAAGTTAATAGAGGACATGGGGAAGGGGCAAAGAAAGTTGCATGCTGTAGCAAGCTTCTCCGAATACTTCTGGACAACTCTGGTATGCAGAAATATTGCAAGTGACTTCAGTGGGGTCAGAATAAATAACTGATGCTGTGAATAACACAACTGCACTGTGAAGTCTACTAATATTGATGAAGTAGAGTTAATATAAGTCTAGGTTGAGGCTCGCTTTTCTCTGAAGAAAAATGCCAGGAAACTGAAAGAAGTAGATAGTGGTGTTAGTTTAAAGTCAAGCAGGAGGGGAGGGTACCTTAGAGACTAACCTGTAGGGCTATGCAAAGCTTCAGTCCCTGATTTGATTCGGCGGAGATTTGGCCCGATTTTGGTGGCTGAATCTCCAAATCCAGATTGAATCAGGCAACCCTTTAATCTCTCTGAATTGATTCGGAAAGATTTGGACATAGACGCAGCTTAAATGTTTTTTCTACATACCTCGAGGTACCAGTTGGCTGATGAATGCTGAGATGCTGGGGCAGATGGAGCATCCCACAGGAGCGCTGGGGGCTCCCCAGCGCGCTCGGCAGCAGACCTGGAAGTGGACCAGAAGCACTTTCGGGTCTGCTGGGGAGTGCATGGAGGGGGCCCTGTGCCACCTGCTCCATGACTGGTGCCTCCTGGGTCTGGGGGGGGTACCTGGGGTCCTCCCATGGCTGAGTGGATGGGGATGGGGTGCCCCCCTGCGCGCTCCCTTGTGGACCCGGAAGTGGACCTACTTGGAAGTACTTCTAGCCCACTTCCGAGTTTGCTATCGAGCATGCGGGGGCCCTTCCACATTCCTGTGGGATGTTCTACCCACCCCAGTATCACAGCATTCAGAAGCTGCACCTGGTACCTCGAGGTATATAGGAAAAACATTTAAAGCTGTGTCTATGGCCAAATAGCTGATTTTCTGAATTGGCATTGAATCTTCAGATTTGGATTTGGACGAATCAAATCAGGGAAAGTGATCTGAATCAACAATTCGAATCACTGTCGGATATGGGCCGAATCCAAATCTGAAATGAATATGGCCCAGTTTGTGCACCTGTACTAACCTTTTCAGAAAGAGAGAAGCTCTGTAGGTGACAGCCTGCTTCATCAGCCCTGTCTTTTGCCTGAAAGCATTGAAAGTAAAATTCTGATCTGTGTTAGGTTTATGGGGAAGAAATGAGAGGAAGAGGAGAGATTTCAGCATAGCTGTGAACTGAAGACGCTCTTTATATGGTGTGAAAGGAGAAAACCCCATTCGGTTTGATAAAAGAATAGGCCAGGGAAAGTTTTTCTCTTCAATCATCTATTCCTTTTTAGAAGCTACATAAGGAATTGTTTGTTCAGGGCTTTGGCTGCTTTTACCTGTGTCATACCAAAGCCAAATGTATGATCCAGTGGGACAAGTGCAAATTCCTCTATAGAGTTAACATTAAAAGGAGATCTCTGTTTCATTCATTTGATTAAGGTGTCCAGTTGAAAAGAGTTTTCATGAAAATGGCATGATTAGGATAGTGTTGTTGTAGTGTTATAGCCTTGAACGTCCAGAAAAATGCACGAGGCAAGCATTTTGTGGGTAATATCTTTTATTGGACTGACGTAGACAAGTTTTTGGGTACCACTGTGCCCTTCTTTGGGTAGGTGGGGAGACAAAGCAAGGCTAAAGAGCAGATAGAAAAAGGCTTGAGGAAAACTCCATATATAAGTAAAATCAGAATATAAGAGGTATTATCAGGTAGCCAACGCATGAGAAATGCAGTAGAAAGGGTAGCTTAAGTAGAAGAGCAAGACTGTTCGAGAGGGTTGCTATCATGGGGATCAAGTAGATTATAATGGGCCATGAAGTTAGTGCATCTGTTTAGTCCCTGATTCTTAGTGTCCAGTAAGTTAACAAATTTTTGCTCCCAAGGCCATCTTTTGAAAGTATTTTGTAAATTTCCCTTGAGCACAAGGACTGTGAGGTCAGAAAGGGAGTGTGTTTTTTCTGTTTAAAAAAAAAAAAAAAAGTTCTCAGACCTTTGTTCTAGTGTCCCTATCCTTTATATCTTTTTCTTTGTTTGTTCTGGTGTGTAATTTTTTTCTAGTTCATCCACATATCTTCCATGTGGGCATTTGGTACACTGGATGAGGTATGCCATGTTCTGGGATAGATGTGTAGGTTCCATGGATTTATGGTAAAGGCAGGGTTTTGTTCCACTGCCAGCCTGCTGACCAGCAGGGAATTTGCTTCTGATGAGGAGCGGGGCAAAATTAGGGGGCTGTCTGAATGCCAGGAGTGGTGGGGATGCTGGGTTTTTTTCTCTCTCTAGTTAAAATGGGTTGCCCTTTTTACTACAGTTCTCTTCTCTGTTAGCTACTGATAACATCTCCAGCTTTTATTTACATATGGAGTTTTGCACAAGCCTTAATTTTTATCTGCTCTTCAGTTCTGTTGTCTACTTCCTCTCCCTGCCCCCGAGCTGAGGAAAAACACAATGGTACCTGAAAGCTTGTGTTATATTCCTTCCAAAGATACAGATGGTTCAATAAAAGATATCACCCAGAAAAATCCTTGCCTCTTGCATGATTAAGATACAGACTCATAGCAGGGGATGATTATTTTCACCATACAGGCCCAATAAGCTTATCTATGTATCTTCCTTATAACAGACAATCACCCAGATTTGCTCTTGAATAATTTGGGTATTTCTGGGACCATACAATGGAGATGGCAGGTTTTGTCATTAACTCCAATTACAATGTTGTATAAAAGACAGTTCTGTAAAAGGAGTGGGGTTTTTTTTTATGGCTTCCTTCTCTATTTAAGGTTTATTAAATCTCTTAGGAAGTCAAACTGTGAGTTTTGTTTCCTTGATTTTAAATATCATTTTAACCTAACAGGGTATATGGTACAGAATAAAGTAGTTCTATTTTTATTAGGTTTTTTAGAAACTTTAGAAATTACTCCTAGAATATTCTATGCCTTTGCTCTGGTCAATTATCTGAAGGTAAAATTGACTGTCAGCTCCAAGAAAGAAAAAAGGTGTCTTCATTTTAACATATGAAAACATTTTCAGGTACCAAAAGGCATAGTGGTTTTTATTCTCTCTAAAGACAGAGTAATGGTACAATTAGTTTCAACTTTAGCATCTTACAATCATAATTGTACTGTTACATTAATATGTGCATCAGCATTTGTTATTTTCAATTTAAAAATGTACATATATGCTCCCTTATATCATGGTGGGCTGTATTTTTTGTATGAATGTTTAGTTTTGTATCTTTACTCACAGTAGTTTGCTAAAATAGTGGCTGATCTTACATTTTAAATACAATTACAATGACTACAGAAATCAGGAGTAAGTTCTGTTGGAAGGTGCTACCATAAGCTTCATAGCACATCTATATTGAAGCATTTTAGTCTTGCCCTGCAAAACCCTTGCTGTCCTAGCCATGGGTGTGTTTTAAAGAGACTGAGAATTGTACTGAATTTATATGATGTTTGTGTTGTGTGGGCCAAACTCTTATTAGGTAGTTGAAGCCACTAAGCATGCCTCTCCCCAAGGGAGGTTGGAAACTTAGATTTTTAGTAGTGAAATATTAACTCATTAACCCACCACTATTTGATCTCTGTTCATACCTCATTGCCTCCTTCTTTCTTTTTATAGTAGTAATAAAGTGTTTTATGAGGAATAGGTCCTAAAGCAAATGAATTCAGAATTTAATATTAGCTATGATGTCTTTCACATGAATGGTCTTATCCTTACTCTTGTCTGTTTACCTGCTTTCTTAGGGAAAGCGCTTGAAACCTAAGTTATGTAAATGAGGACAAATTGGGGATTTTACCACTGCTACAAAAGCAGTGTTCTTGCAGCCAGTTATCAATTCAGTAGGCATTATTTAAAACATTGCAAGTTGCATGTTTTGCTTTACTTGGAAAGCCCAATTAGATATTCAGAACATTCATAAGACTTGAATATTGTAAAGCTTTTTATTTTTCAAAACTGGTTTGCTTCTAATTACAGGAGGTCCCTGGGACTTTACGTTCAATGTGAAGTTTTATCCACCAGACCCAGCACAACTGACAGAAGATATAACAAGGTAAAGACATATACCATTGCCTATTAATTTTGCTAATTGAGTAATTGGTCCAGTAAAGTATGGTGGGAGCTTTTAGAAAGCACTAAGAGAGAGCATACTATTTGAACACTGTAGCTAAAAGTGGAGATCCAGTTGTGGGGTTCTTCCTTTTGTTGTTCGTGTTCTTTCTGCACTGAAGACTACATGAGCAAGGCTAGTTAAATGTAGTGGTGGAACATAGTGTTGTGGTGGAACATGTATAAGCATAAAATACATACTTGTTGAAGTCTGGAACAAAGTCTGGTTGCAGTGGTCAGATGTATCCTCTGCTCTATTTGGAGGGAGGTGCCTTTTACCTCATGAGCCTTTATTCAGGCTACTACAACTGTGGTCTTTATCCTTTGACTGAAGGGTACGCACTAACTTTTTTATTCCTTGCAAGCTAAAACCAGCAAAGCTCCATATCAGTCAACACTTAACCGTGGCCTTCATCTTACCTTTGGGAGTTTGAGCTCAAAAAAGCTGAGGTTTTTGTTTTCCATGCCTTCTGTGGTAAATCATACTTTCTTCTTTTTCTGTAGGTATTATTTGTGTCTTCAGCTTAGACAAGACATTGTGACAGGGCGGTTGCCTTGTTCCTTTGCAACGTTGGCCCTGCTGGGTTCTTATACAGTCCAGTCTGAGCTGGGGGATTATGATCCAGAGCTACATAATGCAGATTATGCCAGTGAGTTTAAACTGGCCCAAAACCAGACAAAAGAACTTGAAGACAAAGTTATGGAACTACATAAAACATACAGGTGAGTGCTGGCATTAGAGGAATTTGTCTAGGCACAACAGGAAAAGGAATAATTAAGAGAAACGGCTGTTTCCTTATCTTTCCCAAGTTTTCTGTGTTTAGTATCCTCTTATACCATAAGTCTCAGCTATGAACCTGAAATGGAACGGCAGTAAAAGAAAGATTTCATTTAGTAGATGAGTTTTGAGTTAGCAGAGAAAATCCAGCTGTTTTAAAAAAGAAAGGGCTCATATGAAGGAGTCGGAAAGTTCCAGTAAAAGTTCTTCCAGAGCCCGTAACCCACTTCTTCATACCAGTAGTAGGACAGTGTCCAAAGGAGTTAGAATTAAAGTTTATATTACTGTAAATATTGCAACTAGATGACCAGCCCAGGACTGCCCACAGAAATGACTTGCTCACAAAAAGTGTGGTTGCCTTTACTGCTATTTTAACTTGCCTGCACTTCCGTTTTGTCAGTTTGTCAGTTTGTGCATTGTGTCATAATCCTAGAATGTAAACTTTTGGGGACAGTGGCTGTCTAGTAGGGGCTACCTCAGCTATTCAGTTGCAGAAGAATTCTTGAAAATATTAGTGAGATAAAGATATTCTTGAGAATCTTATTTAACCAAAGGCTGTGGGATAAAGCTTGCTCACCCACTCTTTCACTCTTGTTCTCTCTCTGTCTTCTCCTGCACTAGATAAAGAGACTGTTTTGGAAGAGCTCAGTGAAATTAGAAATGTATTTTTTAAAAGCGGCACTTGTGGGGTCTTTGATTCTATGTGGAACTGCATGGTCTGCTTGCTTTTAACCTTGTCCTTCCTCCTTATCTCTCTCCTGTTTTATTTATTACTGACTCATATACTGTCTGCAGTTAGGCTGTAAGCTGATTGTGGGAGGGACCTTATCTTTCCATGTGTGCAATAAGTGTCTAGCTGCATATTGTAGCCTAGATTCTGTTGGGGTCCTCTGGCACTTCTGTGTTACAAGTCATAGCCAATATTATACAACACTCACAGCATTTCAAGTACGTGTGTGAGAGCTGATAATAATACTGAGGTCCATGTAATTTCTCAGTCTTGCTGCTTTTTTGGCATTTCCCTGATTTGCGGTAGGTAGGTCTTGTAAGTAGTAGTGGTAGAATTTATGGGGCACCAGAGCTGTTCTTGGCAATGTATTGACCTGGGAGTTCATTATCTAATTGCATAGACAAAGCTAGATCATCACATCTTGGCCCAGAATAAGGATCTCTTAGAACAGAGCAATATTTATTTTTGTATGTGTAAGAGTACATCCAGCTGAGACTGGGTAATATTATTAAAGGAAGCAAACTTCTTCATATAGCCAATATCTGTGAAAAAGCACCTCTGATACCACAATAGAAGATTACGAAAACAAAGCCAAGCCTTTGCTCTTTTATACACATGTATAGTAATATTCAGTTACATTGAGATGTGTGTTTTAAGTGCTAAGAGAGTAGTGTCGTGAAGTCTCAATCATTTTGGTATATAGCTTTCATACCATCCAAAGAGGGCATGAGGGGATGATTCTATGTCCTGGTCTGAGTCTTAAGCCTATAACCTTCTGACCTGACAAAAGCTGCCAGCTGTGTCACATTAATGACTACAGAAAACAAAAAGCAAAGTGAAACTTTCTCCAGGGCAAATATAAACTAATAATATTAGTAATTGTAGCCTGCATTGGTGGATTTTGGGTCTCTGGGTGATATCAAAGCTATAATTAACACCTTAAATTCAGACTCTTGATTGAGTATTTTAAACTGATTTCCTCCCTGTGTGTAATGAAGGGGAGAGGAAGTGAGGAATATAAACTTGTCAGTTGCTCAATACTTCAGGACCAGAAGTCAAAGGGCATTGTCCTTAATAGAGCTTGCAGCTAACATTGCTGAGTGATTTATTTGACTGCTGTATTCCATTAAAACAAAATAATCAATTCATATGAACCCCCCCATCAAATTCATTAAATGAGAGCAGAAATAACATGCATCTTTAAATGTGTTGAATTATAAAGACTTCCCCCTGCATAGATGAATATGTTAATTTCTGAATATCGTTCTATGAACTTTGAACATCAGATGGCTTTAAGTAAAGATTTCAATGTTAAACATGGTCTTGTGGCCATGTTTATTTGAACTATGCAGTCTTTGTTTATAAGAGAGAAGTTGCGGCCTTGTTTTTCCATTTAAAGGATTAGAGCTACAATATTAAATTTTCTTTTGGTCAGTGCACCCTAGGGTTGATATTTTTATATAAAATGTTTGTAAGCAAGACTTAGAAGCAGTGAGCAAAATGAAACATACATAAATTAACTGTTCCAATGCAGCATTTGCACAGATTTGGCACAATAGAAGCCTATTAGCAAGAACTTCAATAACATTGAAAATGGCCCTATTATCAGGATGTTTCTGTTAGCCAAAGTTGCATTGTATTGCCTCTCCTGTGGACAGGGCACCATCTGTTCCCTGAAAATGTCTCATTCATCTAGGCTGTTCCTAATAGGAGACTCCTATTAAGTGATTTCAGCTGCCCTTCCATTTAATTCTCAGAACAACAGCTGGATTCTAAAATGTATTGAGGTAAAGCAGTTAAGAGGATTCTGCAGTTCACTCTATGCCTTCACAAAACTTAATATGTTCATTTGTTTTTCCAAGAGAGATTTTCTTGGGGAATCAGTGCTGAGATGGGTAGATATTGCTGCTTTGACATCTGTGTTCCTCTTCATAGGCATAAATATTGAAACATCTTCATAAAAATTAGATCCAAAGGACAAAAAGTGTGAGAGATTCTTCTGTAGGCATAACTTGTCTCCTCAGTTTAGGAGAATGCAGCAATCAAGAGCCCAACAACTAATTGGCTTAATAAGCGATTACTTTAAAAACCAGTCTTTGTTGTCAGTAATACTGAGACTATTGTCTTTCTTTCTCCAGATCCATGACTCCAGCACAAGCAGACCTGGAATTTCTTGAGAATGCAAAAAAGCTGTCAATGTATGGAGTTGATCTTCACCAAGCCAAGGTAAGAATTAACATTTATTTCTGTAGTGTTCTGTTTTCTTTATAGTGGGCGTCTGTTGGGCCATAATATTCTTGCTAAAAGATTTAGGCAGGCAGCCAGCTAGTTGTCATTTATAGAAATGCAAATGAACGATAGATATTGCTTGTGTGCATGACTGCAAACATAGTAGAAGAAGCGATTCCTCCAGCTTTGCTTGTTATTTATATACTGTAGGAAGCTCATTACAAACCTATTGAAGTAGATGGGTCTTTGGTTTGAAGAACCTACTAAGATGTTATGATCCTGCAAAGTAAGGTATTCACAGAAGTCAGAGGCATGCAATATAAACCGTAAGAGATCAGAGAGCATTTTGAGAAAAGGAGGAGAATGTAAGGACAGATATGAAGAAAAAATGTTGGCCTTGGGCACATGGAAAGCTGGAGGTTGTTCTGACCATGAGGGTTGGAGACTAATTCAAGTGGGATTCAGGAAAACAAACAAACAAAAGTAGTGTTTTAGAGGACAAATATTGTGTGATAAATTGTTGAGGCTTATAACTCCAGCACAGTTATATGTTTGAATCTTTATTTGCTTTCTTAGGATTTGGAGGGAGTAGACATCATTCTAGGAGTCTGTTCCAGTGGCCTTCTTGTCTACAAAGATAAACTGAGAATCAACCGCTTCCCTTGGCCCAAAGTTCTGAAGATTTCCTACAAACGCAGCAGCTTTTTTATTAAGATTCGGCCAGGGGAGGTATAGCTTGAGCTTTTTTTTTTTTCTTCTTTCTTCCACTTGTTATATATAAGAACATGATTGAATTGGTTTTAGTTTTACCAAAAGAATAGAGAAGTATTGTGAGTAAAGCTAGTTCTGTTCCTCAGTGTATGATAGAACAATTATGGTTTTCATTTTAACTAGTATTTCTTATTTACTTTTTCAGCATTGTTATAGCTTGTCTATACTGTAAAGCCAGTGGACCTGTTTAAGGCTATAAAATATTATTTGAATTTTAAATTGTATGGTATGTAGTGCCACCTACTTGCAGAGTATGGTACGCTGGAGTTAACGTTTTCTAATCAGCACAGTTTGCCCAAACAAGCCAAGTACATGTTGGCTGGGGAATGGCTTTCCTATCTCATGATGATTTTCATGGTTTAAAAAAAAAAAATGCTTTCCCAGTCAGAACCAGGGTAAATCAAAGATCTGTTGAATATTGTTCACAGAAAAAGGCACATCTCTTTCACAGACTCCAAAAATAGCTACTAGGTCAGTGTTTGGGGCTTTCGCCACCTGGGCTGTGAGAAAACTGAGGTTCAAGTCTGTGGTCTGATTCAGACAGCACATATACTTGAAGCTGAATTTCTAGTAGATAGTTTGTGAATATCTTAAATGCTGAGTTATTGGCTATTTGAGAATGGGGTGGAAAGTAGGGGGAAGGAAAATTCTCCCTCTCCTCCTCACTTTTTTCTGTCCTGAGAAATCTTTTTTTTATGGAACAGTTTTGATGGAACAGTTTTTATTTTTGGGGCGGGGTTTGTTGGGAAATTCCCAGTTAGCTCAGTGCTTATCAGATCCTTGTTGTTGGATCTGTAAATGAGATACTCATATGTTTCTATAATCCAAATAAAGCAAGACATTTTGATCTTTCTGATGTTATTTTGAAACGTAACTTCAAAGTGGCAAGGAATGGTTCTGCAGACAGACTAACTTTTTATCTTCGCAAAAAGCAAGTTAGATGTGCATTTCACCAGACCTCAGATGACCATTGACCTTCAGAATATTGTACCGTTATAGACTAAAATAAGTAGGTAGCAACGTTTTTGATGCTGGGCCAAGTTGTGCTCTTCTATGTGTGGGGGAGGGGGTGTGTGGATCTCTTTCCTGAATAGAAAGAGAAACATGGGTCTCTGCAGCAGAGTTCCCCTTTCTTCCCTCCCTTATTCCTGCCTCTCATCAATACAGCATAGACAGAAAAGGAACAAGTCCATGATGGACAAAATGATGGACAAAATCCCCTAGACATGATACCCATCATAAGCTATGCGTCATCTCTTTAGCCTTCTCTTATGAAAATCCCTCTTTAGAAGGGATCCTGGAGCTTTAATGCATAGGATGGGGGTAGTGTCACAGCTGCTGCAGAAGTCAACTCCATATAGATGGGTTTGTTCTCTTTTTGCAGGTCTTTTTTCATCGTAGGCCCCCAGAAGTTGTTAATATAATTCCACATTTGGGATTAGAAGTATTTTATCCCCAGTTCCAAAAATGGTACTTTCTGCCATACCAGATGTGCGTGCTAGGATGCGTCATTTTGGGCATCGGGGATAAAATGTATCTGATTTCCAATGATTCAACTGCAGGGGTGAACTCAACACTGAGATCTGGTCCCTGATGCTAGGCTCCTCACCTCCAGCAACTTGAAAGGCACACCATGAAGCCCAGACTGGGAAAATCAGTTTCCCCATGCTGGCCTGGAATCTTGCTTTTTTAAGTTCCTGAGCAGCTGTGAGCCCAACGTTGAGGAGAGGTCCCTAAGGGTGGGGTTCATGTGCCACAGGAGCTTAAAAGCAGGTGTGTAGCCCAGCTGCATGTGCTGCCCTTTGAGCATGCTGCTGGCTCCCTGCAGCCTGCCGTATTCAAAGGATGTATATGCAGCTGGGCTGCACTTGCCACTCCTGGATGCCTGCATGGCACATGTTCAAAATACAGGCACTCCTCACTTAACGACCGAGTTCCGTTCCTGCGACTAGGTCATTAAGCGAATTGGTCGATAAGCGAGGAGCCGCCCCTTGATACTGCATGCCTTGGCTTGAGACGCCGCACTGCCGTTTCCACGACCAAAGTTCTCGTACTTACGACCAAAGTTCTTGTACTTACGACCAGTTCTCGCTGGTCGTAAGTCCGCGTGGTCGTTAAACAGGTAGGTCGTTAAGTGAGGAGTACCTGTATAGTGCAATACAGGCCAACCCCATGGAACACTCTTGTGGCTGGCTTAGCATTTTATGGTGTCTTAAATAGTTTGTATGTATGGCCTGTTGCAATCTATTGTGTAATTAATGTGTTATTTGTATGATAAATATAACATCCACCAAAGGCCTTAGGATATTTACTGGGTTTGTGGATGGTTTCTGCCTAGGTGGTTTTATTTGGGTATGTTCCACACAGGTTCTATGCAGGTGATCTTCTCCATATATTAGCCATTGCTATAATTAAATATTCTGTTTTACTGTTTTCCATAGCAGGAACAATATGAAAGTACTATTGGGTTTAAACTGCCTAGTTACCGGGCAGCTAAGAAGCTGTGGAAAGTCTGTGTTGAGCATCACACATTTTTCAGGTATTCTTTCCTTAAACTGTATGTCTCCTTTTTATCAAATATGAGATCTTCTCTAAAGCAATACTGATTTTAAGTTTCTGCATCTGTAATTCCTTTGCAAGTGAATGCTGTGTGCGTCTCTCCTTCAGACAAAGTTCCTTGGGTGAATCTGATATCTTTTATTAGACCAACCCAAATAGTTGGAAAATAATTATTAAGCAAGCTTTCGGGTTCAAAAACCCCTGACCAAATTCTTAACTCGCATATTGATTATGAATTTTATTGGGTATTTTTCCACATCTTGTTTGATTCCTGTCCCTAAACATGGTTTCGTTCAAATAAGAGATTCTTCAGTAAAATAGAGACTAAAGTTGGGGAAAAAAAACCTGGAGGAGTATAGGTCCATGCTTGTATTGAACACAGCAATTCTTACAGCAGCATTTTGAATGATTTTATATTAGTATGTGACCTTATGAACTGACACTTTCAATGGGGATTGACATAACTGAGGAGTGAAAATGAGTAAAAGGAAATTAAATTAATAATAGCACTAACCTTCTTAACTGAAGACTTCATATTGAAACAGTCTTAAGCATAGCAATAGGTGCTATTGATTTTTATATTATGTTAATAGACCATGTAGAAAGGTGCATTGTTCTGCTCCCCAGATTTCTTTTTACTTCCACTTTATGTATTACGAGTTCCTTGAGTTTGAAGATACAAGATTAATGTATGTGTATGTCTTTTCAGGCTAACTTCTACTGAAGCCATTCCCAAGAGCAGGTTTCTGGCACTGGGATCTAAATTCCGTTACAGTGGACGAACACAGGCCCAGACAAGACAGGCTAGCGCCTTGATTGATAGACCCGCACCACAGTTTGAACGAACAGCAAGCAAGCGGGCATCCAGAAGCCTTGATGGAGGTTAGTGACTAATATATTTTTCCCCTTGTCACATTGCCATGAATGAAATCAATCTAGTAGGTTTCAGTAGAAAATCACTCTGTAGGGTGAGAATTTGTACCCATTTTGTCTAAGGAAGAGAAGCTGATCTGAAGAATCTAAAACTGAGATATACTATGAAAAACGTTTCAGGAACTTTAATTCTAGTAAGGCACAGTGCATTTGCCTAATATGGGCAGTCCTGATTCAAAATTCACGGGTTGATAGAAATTTTGTTTTCATTCTGAAGTTTACAAAACTTAAACTAATTAATGTATTTGGCACTACTTGGGACTTACAAATGAGAGACACTAAAAAGAATCTTGTCAGTTTAAATTGCTGTTCAACACTGATGCTGTTCCTAAAATTTGAGGGAAGGTCTTTAAACAATCATTATGAAAATGTTTTGTAATATGCTGTAGCAGCACCCTTTTTCCCATCATTGTGTGTGTTTAAAGAAATAACTTGGCTATGAGAATACCCAAAGATGCAAAAACTTTCTCAAAAACTGTTCCAGTTTGTCCCGTTGCCACCCAAAGCCAAAAGGAAAACAACACATTTAGCCTTCTGTGTAGCCTATACAAACCACTAGGACAATCTTGCCTTGTGTTCCTGTTCTACATCTGGCATTCCAGTGGTGATAATTGATTTTGTGCTCCTACTAAGTGTTTTGACACTTCTTCAGTAGCAGATGGAGTGACAATTCATTTGAAGTCTATGGGCACTTGCTGTAGTGGAAGGCAAGTTAGACTTGAATGTCAGACCTTGAAAAATGTAAAACAGCTAAATACATCGCTTCTGTCCAATTGAAGTCTTCAGCCTTTTCCTATGCACCATGTAGGTAGCTTGTTAACATATGCACAATTTCTTCAGCTAAACGTACGACCCAAAAAATTGAATTCAGACCTGTAGAGGAGGAGAAGCAGGAGGAGGTGGTGGTGATGGTTGAGGTTCCAGAATCAAAACCTGTGGAACAATTCCAAGAAAAGCCAGGTATAGCTGTGGTGGCTATGACTCTGCAGTG